TTTTTTTTTTTTTTTTTTGCAGCTATTTTGACGATCAGTTTAGTTTAAAATATATTTTACAGTCTTTCGGTTAACACTTCACTTAAACTGTGTCTCGCTAGCTTAATAATAATTATATGCTCTATAAGCCTGCATTTGTTGGTAATTTCCATGTAGCTCAAAATGTCTGAAAGTCTTTCCATCAATTTCTCTCTTTCTTTTATTCTTATTTCTCGAATTTTTCTTTCCTTATTTTCTTTTGCCGTTTATGCTATGGAGTTCTTATTATGAAATCGAAAAAACCTAACCATATAACCACGTGACCATAAAAAATCAATCTATCATCTACAGCTGCTGTTCACAGTCACACCACGGTCTATAAATTTTCAACTTTTTTCCTATTAATACTTTTAGTTTGTCTATCTGAAAAAGAACTTTTTTTTCTATTTTCTTTTAGAGAAATGTGTTAAAACTCCAGCTGTGTGCGGTTGAAACATTTGTCAGGTAGTCGAGCCCACATGGGTTTTTGTTTCTCTTTCATAAATATCAAACATTATGAAATTTGGTGAAATGCAGACACAACCACATGCAAGCCTATATATACATATTTGCCATTTTAAAGGTTTTCCTTTGCTTGCTTTACAATACATTTTATTATAAATTTTAACAATTATTTTGTGTTTATGTTTTTGTCATAAATTTTTTTTCTTTTATGTTTGGCTTTATTATTGAAAATATTTTAAATGTTTTCATTATATTCGTACACTTGCATATACAAAGGAATGTATATTTGAAAGCAAAGAAGGTCAATTTTGTGGTCTCTGGAAATATTGTTGTGGGTTATCAATTAATTTCATTTAAGGGTTTTTGATTCAGCTGTGAACGAGGGACGGACAGACATAGAGTTAGAGACAGAGAGAAGATGATGTGGCGACAAACCTTTTAAAAATTCTTTTTAAATTAAATATTTTAAAGATTCCCATTTATGTAAGCCAAAAAATAATTAAAATAAAAATTTTACTGAATAAATTTCAAGAAAATTATGTCCTTACAGAGATAAATAGATACATTTCGTTATGGTTGACACACATCACAATTTACGCTATAGAAGAAAACTGCCTTTGGTTTTTTGTTCATCGCCTTTTGGTTTTTTCCTATAATAGGTATAAAACATGGTCTAGATTTTGTATGGAAACGCGAACAAATTGTAAACGTAAATTTTTTATACTTCCTTAATAGCAGCACATGATAAGCCTTTTTTCTAAAAGCTGAGATCATGTTTTATATAATTTTAATTTTGAAACAAAGCTATTTGTCTTGAAATCGTAGAGGTTGAAGCCCCTGCCTTATTTTTATATGCAATTTCAGCTTATACATAGTCGGACCACGACAATGGGTTTTTGAGGTTCATTTGAAGTTTGAACATAGATTTTTTGATAATTTCATATTGAATTTTCGAGGATCGTTAGCCATGACGTTAAACTTAAACTTCTTCGTTTATCTGGCGATTAGATCGACGGGTTCTCAATCAGAAACGAGTTCCGCCGAACGGAACCAATTGACCTAAAATTTGAAAGAGGGATGCGTTGACGGACTGTGTGTATATATATAGCACAGTCTGTAAACACTGTAACCGTAACATGTAACAATTTTTTTATAAGTCGAAGTTTATGTGGATTCGCTATACATCGTTAATGCTTTTCTGCCAACAAAGATGAAGCTACCGCCTTCAAATTTTGCAGAAAGATTGGAGCTTCTCGCACGCAGGTTGACATTGAAAACGGACTAAATCAGGGGACACGCTCGCTTACACTGCGACGTAAAGTGAGAACACATCCACTCTCTTAGATTTTTGGTCGCTACTTGTAAACTGTGAACAATAGATAAGCGAAAGAAATGTCCACCTGTATTCAATAAAAATGAAAATAGTCAGCCACGCCCACCCAATATTATAGAGTATCTGAAATTTCGCTTATTAGTGGTTTTTAGTTTTCGTTGAGATGAATTTTCTTCTTTGCTTCACGTTTAAAGGTTTTTTTATTTTTACATACTTCGAAATCAAAGAATATAAGGTCTGTGCATAATTGATATGCTTATATGTCGATCATTTGAATAAACAAACCAACATGAAGTGTAAATAACCTTCTGTCCAAGACATGCGATTGTTTTCTGATTAGAAACTTTTGACGCTTATCGTGGCACGATTTGTTATAAAAGGACGATTAGGGTTAACATTCGCTGCAGATGGGGGAAAAATACTTTCTTTCCATTTCATTACTAATTGTAAGCGGTATTGCGGACGGCTGAGTGCACTTAAACCTATAAAGTTAAATTCGGGATATCGTTGCCAGACTTCGACTTTGTTACTCAATTGTTTTTTGTAGCAAAACTTGAACAGATGCACATGACTGGTATTAGACCAATCTTACGCTAAGCAATAGTATACGGAATATATAGTAGAAAGGTTTACTTTTATTGATAGTCGATATGCCACATTTTATTCGCGTATGTATCTATGAATACCTTTGAATAGCGCGTTGAATGCTGCTCAACATATCTGAAACTCCTAAACATGTCCTTTCGTAATCTTCTCTTAAAATATTCATAACATTAATTTTTGTCTCTGTATTTAATTGGGTTACCATGCGATAAGGTTTGCGCTCCCACGAAACCCCTAATGGAAAGATACTCGCAAAACTTTATAATTTGTTGCTGACATTCAGACCTTTTTTTGGTATTGTCTACATAAACTTTACTTAATGGTTTTGTGCGGCCATAAAATTTTACATAAGTTTGCTTCTTTCACAGACGTGAAATAATGTAATCATTTCGTATGCAACGTTTCAAAATATTCATCGTAAACATAACAGAAATTAGAAGTCTCCACGAACGAATGATAGTTTGATCTATGATATATTTGATTAAGAA